CTGTGCCTGGATTAGCAGTTTCCAAACATTGAATTGGCTATAAGAAGCTAGTGACACTCAGTTTGGCTTGTGTCTATGTCACTTCCAAAAAATATAATGGAATCAACACCCCAAAATAGTAAAGTTTTTAAAAACAAACACAACAGAGTGAAATAGGAATGTTGTTTAGAGACCCATTTTCAAATAGCACCGGCAAAATCTTTACAGAGATGTGTCTCTGCAAAGGTATATGCAAATTGCAAAGTTAAGCTGCAGACAGCTGCTACACTTCTTTCTAACTGGAATGATGTGTGTGCATGTCCAGACTGCAGCTACACTACTTGCCTAGGCCCTGAAGCATGCCTGAAATGCAAGCTCACAGATCATTGTCAGTAAGTTTCAGAGTACACGCTGACTGAACTGTAGGAGGAGAATTCATCGCCCTCATTATGAGGCAGACAGCTCTATTCTGGGAGCAGTCTTAGCTAAACTTGCAGATGTGAATTTGAGAAAATAGAATGATCTTTTTCCACGAGCCACTGGGTTTCAGGTTGAGAAAATGGTATTAGAATAAAGAACAAGACTTGACCTTAATGGTGAGGGTCTTCAGGAGAAAGGTTGCCCTCTAACCTGCAGAAGCATATGGACATGGTTTTGCTGTTGTCTTGAAATGGTCTGAGAATTTGTTGTGCTCCAGTTCAGCTGTTTTTTCTTCAGTTAGAAGCCTTTTTCATTGACTTTGAGGAGGAAAAAAAACCAAAAGGTGTTGAGGTAGTAGAAAATATGTACAGCAAAGCTACACAGGCAACAGAAACAAACTTTTAAAAGTTGGTAGCTTTTGTCATCTCACATATATGCTTGATAGTGACTCTCTTTTAATTAGATCAGTGGGATAAATATTTATATTCTTTGAGGTTTGCTGTTCATTACCTTTACCTCAAAGATGGAGCACAGAAGGAATCTTGGAAGCAAAAAACAGACCTGACCTATAAAACTAATGAGCATAATAAATCAGGCATATGTAGATTAGAAAACATCTGAAATGTAACTGTGATTTTTTCCCTTTCTTCTACTCCTTTTTCTTCTTCTCTGTTCTGATTTACTTGCTAAATCACAATTACATTCAGTACAGACAGAAATTCAATTTGTTTTTCCTTTTCCCCTGCAAACTAGAAGATGGATAATCTGCAGTTAATTTCTCATTTCCACAAAATACTGTGGAGAAAAGCAGCCCTTGAATGCCAAAGTTCAGATCTCAGAGGCACAGATGAGTGCATCTGTGACGATAACAAGACCATTGAAAATTAATCAACAGCCAGGGAGAAGACAAAAGAGAGACCGGTCCATCTTGTCTGTTCAATATGTTCGTCGATAAGTCGTTGTCCCTGACAGTATGTTTTCTGATGCTTTGTCCAACCTCATTTCAAACATGTCAATTGATTGCATTTCCAATCCTCCTTGGGAAGACTGTTTCATGTTATGATAATTTTTTAGGGTGTTGGTTGGTTTTTTGGCTTTTCAAGTACCCACATGGCACCTTTCCTGGTGTACAAGTACAAAGCCTGGAAAACTAATCACTCTGCAACTCTAATATTAAAGGTAGTTATATTTCCTAAGCAGTAGTATAGTCAGTATTACGAACATTGATTTTATTATATGAGGACTGTTCTGAATGTAATGTCTCATATTTTATTATGTTGGCCCATGAAGTCAGAGGTGAAAGTTGGTGTTATGGCAGTGGAGGCTGAATCTTCATACCAGCATTCTATTACATGTTGTCTTGTGAGAGATGGCCACAGAGGGTCTGTCTGACAAAATGGCATATGATGTGGAAGGGTGTATGAGCAAAGGTTTGTCATTGAATTCCTCCATGTGGAAAAAATGAATTGACATTCATTGACGTTTGCTGAATGTTTATGGAGACCAAACAGTGGATGTGAGTACAGTGAAGCAGAGGATGGTATATTTCGCAGTGGTGACGGTAACGTGAAAGACAAGCTACATTCCTGACAACCATGCACAGCTGTCACACAATGAAATGAAAGCATCTCAATGAGCTCTTCCATACAAATCAGTGGATCATGACTAGGGAACTGTGTAATGCGTATTGACTGCAGTGTGTCGGAAACAATAGTGGCAATGTTAGAATATCACAAAGATCACAAAGCTTGTGCCAGGTGAGTCCCACAAATGCTCACACAGGAATAGAGAAGAACACAGTATGCAAGTTTGTCAGAACCTATAGAGGCAATACAAGGCTGAAGGTGACAATTTCCTGGATTATATCATTACTGGTGAAAATAACATAGTGTCACCTTTATGAGCTGTGGAGTTGGGCATGTGAATTTCTCACTGAAGAAAAAATTCAAGAGAGTCCTCAGAGAGTAAAGTGATGTGCACTGTCTTTTCGGGTGGGAAAAGGATGATCCTTCTGGATTTCCTGGGACCTGGAAAAATGGAAACTGCTATATCATGATGTGAGCTGAAGGCTCCAACTTCAGAAGTTGCATCAGAGAAGATAGCCTTTCACTTGCACAATAATGTCAGGCCCTATACCAATTTAAAGACCATGGAGCCCATTGTCAGTGTTGGCTGCACGTATCCACCGCACTCACCATATAGTTTAGATTTGGTGCCTTCTGACTTTCATCTGTTCATGCCAGTGTAAGATGGACTGCACAGGCAATGTTTTTCTAGCAATGATACCATCATACATAATATCAGCTGTGAAACAATGGGTCACCTGTACTGGTGCAGATTTTTACAAGCGTAACATGCAGGCTCTTGTCCATTGCTGGTGAAAATGCATAGCTAATGGTGGTGGACTATGTTGAAAAATAAGGTTTTGTGACTGAGAATTTGGTCTGTCAGATGATATTATTTTGCTCTTTGAAACTATTGTAGTTTCCATGGATATAGATAGAGAGGACATTACTTTCACAGCAGCCTACATAGTTTCTCAAATGTGTGTTAATGATGCTCAATAGAAGAGCTTATGACTGCCCATCTGGAATTTCTAGTGAACAGCTCATTCCCTTCTCTTGTTTTACATCTCAGTTAACATCTGACTTATAGTATTGGCAACTTAACATTTGTTGTAATGTATGTTTTTCATTGAAAGCAGTTTTGACTTTCACTGGCTTCATTGAGAGGAATGCTGGTTCACCCTCAATTACTTGGGAAAAATCCACTCCATTCATGTCAATCCTTAAGAGAACAAAAGAAAAATAAACAAAAAACTTTGGCTGATGAGAATCACTTTTTTCAGATGTGTAAGATGTGTTATAACTTAAATGACTTACATTGTATTGGAACTAGTCTATTGTGCAGAGCTGTGTAGTTTTATATTGTGCTACTGCATTGCCTGTGGTTACAAGCACTGGGGCAAGATTTAGAAACGGTAGATTTGTAGTATTTCTTTGGTTTTAATCTAACCTTTATGTATTACACATTGTATCAGTGCTTTCTTGACTTCCATCTCAAAGGATCCACAATCAGCATCCTGAACTCTGTAAGAATCTCATAATAATAGATCTATGAACAAACTGCTTCCATCCACCCTCACAGAAATGATGAGTAGATTTCTAGTTTGCTGAGTATAAACTATTCTTACAATCTCCAAAGTTCAAGATCATGTTGTAAATTACTCAGAGAAAAATCTCTCCCAAAGTTGGGCCAGATGCATTTGTATGATTCTCAGATGCTGCTCATTACTTGCCTGTCATCTGAATGACTCTATAATGGCAATTCAATAACTTACGAGAGTCTTTGAAAAGATTATCCATTTAGGGTTTATATATATGTGTCAGAGTTCTATGGAAGTCATCTGTGAGATGTCTGAAGCTTAAAAAATATAGATCAGCTGTAACACATAACAGTGGCCACAAAGCTGCTAGGCTCATTGTAAAGCTAGTGCTATACGAGAATCCAACCCACGTTATCTGGCAGTAAAATCATCTGAATGCTTCAAAGCACAGTTTTTAAGATCAAATTTGCTTCCTTTTATTTTTGCCTTGTGTCTTTCCTGAGTAAATACAGTCTTAGGTAAAGAGGGAACTTACTGTGTGTGTCTCTTTGTAAGAGCATGTGCAAGACTCAGCCCTGTGAATCCTCGTTAAAGAATTTGCCTTTTACTCTGGGTCAGCTCAGCAGACTAGCCATTCAGGCTGCCCTTGTTATCTTGTCTCTTGCTATCTCTCCTGAACCTGCTGGGAAATAGCCTCCATGCTAAGCTAATTGCTTCTAATTGCAATGTTCTTATCATACCAACCTCAATGCTGATAGTGAACTGTGCTGTTGCAGCGTGAATTGTGAGTAAACCTAGATTCTGCTTTGTATGACCTGAGATACACTGCCTTGTCAGTAAATGAAATGAAAGAAGTGAGGTTTTGGTCCCCAGTATCAGCAAGCATCAAAATTTGCACTTATTTACAGATGCTGAGTCATATACTGTTCTGCGTTGCTCAGCTTTCATGCAGAAAAATGTGACAGTTGAGTAAAAGGCATTCTCTGCCTTGTAACTGGGCAGTAGGAACACATTCACAGTTGCAGCTTTTTGTCAGTAATTCTGTTTATGGAGACTGTGTGAGCTCATCAGCTGCGGTTACTATTTGTTGTAACAGTGGGCTGTTCTCTTAGGTCAAGCTATGTTTGCAAAAGATGAATGTTACCGTCCCGAGACATATTACTAACCCTTCCCCCAGTACTGAGGCCAGTTGAAATGCATCTAATTTTCTCTGGATGCTGGCAACAGAAGATGCTGAAGATTTCCCATTTTTCCTGGGAAGCTTCTAACAATTTTTCTCTAGCACAGCAAGTTGTAGCATTTGCTCGAGCTGGTTCAGGGAGAAACAGCTCTTGGGCGCTACGTTGACCTGCAGGTTTTCATCACATAGGGACAATTTCAGAGTTGGCCTTGTCTGTAATGCAGTAAAGTGTTAGATTTGGGTTGGCTTTTGTGCCCTGCTTGTTGCAAATTTTTGGCTGTTAATTTCCCTTTCAAACCCTTTTTCATTTAACAGAAGACAAGATCTGGACTGCAGTGCAACACAACAACACAGGGCTAACCAGAGTTCAAGGAGCTGGTCCAGAGAAGCCCTACACCATGTCCTTTAACTACAACAGCAGCTCAGAGCAGCTTGAAGCTGTGATAAACAGTGCGGAGTACTGCGAGCAAGAGGCAGCCTACCACTGCAAAAAGTCACGTCTCCTCAACACCCCGAGTAAGTGTCATGAGCCCAAGTCTTTCCTTGTTAACTGCTATTGATTATACAGCAGGTGCAGGCTGCACTGCATCTAAGGAGAAAGAAAACTGCCTGGATAGTAGCAATACAGGCTAAAGTGAAAAGCCTTTGACTTTCTTGGGTCCCGCTGTGTGCTGGCTGTCCTCTGACATCAGATGGACAGAGCCCTGCAGGAGAGTTTCCCAGTGTGTAAGTCTTTGAGTAGAAAGGGTCGGAAAGCTTCTGCAATGGAAAACAGCACTTGGAAAGCACTTACATTGTGCTGGCTGGTGGTAAATTATTGTTGGATTTTTTTTGTTGTTGTTGTTTGGGGGGGCTTTTTTTTTGCTTTTTTTTTTTTTTTTTTTTTTTTTTTTTTTTTTTTCTTTCATTTACAGTTTTTTAACTGTATTAAAAGAGAAAGTGTAAGACTCCAAACTTATGTATTTCTAGTCAGGAATGTTGTACCAGTCCAACAGTCCTGAATGTGATGTTTAAAGTACTTGGTAGAATAGTTTCTGGGGCAAAAATAATTTTTACCTCTTGGTAGAAGGAACCAATTTTTTGCACTGATTTAATGTGGTAGCAACTAGAAAACAGAGAGGATCTGATCAGTTTGCGTCTTTTTGTGATGGCAAATCACCAGTGGCTACTCAGGGTGGCTGCCTGTTGTGTGGCCCTCTGATGAAGTCTGGAGTTTACATCTGGTAATCCAGAAAAGAGGAATGCCCTTAAAGGAAGGCTTCTGGATGCTTCCAGTGTTTGTTTGGTTGTCGGTTGTCCCGATGATTCTCCGATTATTAGGAACTCTTACATTTATTAGTAGGTTAGGAGAAATCCCATGGAAAGCCCTAAGGAGATCTTGTAATGGGAGTTCCTATTGTGTTAAAAATACACTGTCTAATGAGATGTAAAAAAAAAACTTGACTGATTTCAGCAAAGTTATTATAAATCTGACTATTTATGGATCCAGTAATCTGATGCCTTACAAACAGTTTATTTTCAAAAGCAGTAAGTTATGTCTTTTGTTACCATCAGAATTTACCAGCTGAGAACCGTTTGTAGCGCTGATAATTTTTTGAAGAGTGAAATTTTAGCATCAGCACCCAGAGTAGAGCAGAAAGGGGAAACAAAGCACAAACATAGCTGCTCATGAAAACAAGGAAGAATGTTTTACCAATACTTTCAGTGTCATTGGCTGCTGTTATTCCATACTGCCCTTGACGTGTTACAAAGACATAGTCACCACAGAGATTATTTCTGGATCATTTCTTTTTTTAAGTGTTACAGCAGGTCTGCATATATTTAATTCTTCTTCTTTCTGTCAGGTATTTTCTTCATGTGCGTGCAGAAAGAAACAATATATGTTGTAGTATATCTTGTATATGGAACCTCTGTAAAGCAGCTTACAGACTTGCTAAGACAATTGCTGATAGGCACTTGTCCAGGAATAAAGGTGTGACACCAGTACCTTGAGGGAGAGGATATTAGGGCGATGTCCTGCAGACCAGCTTGCTCTCTTGCAGCTGCTGCAGTGCCACTGGGCTCCTGACAGTTGACCATGCAAGACTCATAACTCTTTAATACATGATAAATCAGAAAAAATTACAATCTTGAGCTCTGCATGTGGCAGACTATCATTTTTCCCCTTTCTCTTTCTTCTTCTTTTTGTACGCTTTTTAATTACGCTTTCAATTTTTCATCGTGAACTTTCTCTGTAGCCTGAGGCTGTAAGTTTGACTAGACTTGGAACATGCTCAAAAATAAATTGTCTGAGCTCCTGAAATGATGAGGTTTGGGGAACATGCTTGTTCTTAGCTTAGTGTTACATGTTTTTAAGTAGTAGAAAGAAATATATTTCCCCAAAGCCTTCTGTATTTTTGTTAATTGATATTCATTTTGAGGTGAACTATTGCTGTATTAGAGAAGAACCTAGTGCCTAGTGGTACATATCTTGAAAAGTCCTAAGATTTAAAGAATTTCCACTACTAAGCTTATAGGTGTATGTGTATTCAGGGCATTTTGCTGGGCACACTGTGGAAGATTCCCACCTGTTTATGCCCAGTAGTAATTGATCACTAAAATTGATTAGTACAAAAATCAGAACTCCTGGGGTTTGCTTCTTAGTTTGGCCCAGGTTTCTGGATGCCTGAAGCATTTTGTGCTGCAAGAGTAATGCTTAATTATGGTTAACAAACAACATTCATATATTCCTTCAAAAGTCAGTATATAACTGCATGTGGTGATAAGAATGTTGCATTCATGGGCCAGTAGGGAACATTATGTCACCTAATCTATCTTGATGAATATCACCATTCGTTAATAGTTCTGGACCAAGTCCAGCAGTGTGTATTTGATGGAAAGACATCTTCCAGAGGTATATCTGATCTTGACAGATGTACAGAAGTTCCCCCATCTTCAAGGGATCTAATTCATTTCTGTGCTTCATCTACTGTGGAATTTTGTTCTTACTTCTTTTTCTTTTTTTTGTCCTAGGAGATAGAATATATGATTAAGATTTCTCAGCTGGTAGCAACAAAACCCCAAATCCTTGCCTTCAGGATCTAAACACTATCATGCTTCATAGAGAAACAATACAGAGATTTCTCTTTTCTTTTTCTTCCTTGATTTCACTCTGCAACGAAGATTCATGCTGTTACATAGTAACTTTGACTTTTCATAGCTTTGACATGGGAGGAAAAAAAGAAAAAATAATGTGCCTACGCAAAGGGACAAGTACTCTGGGCAGCCTTAGAGAGAAACCAAGGGAGGTTTCTGGCTTGCGTAAGATTGTTCCAGTTTATAGCAGGGAATTTGTCTTTTTATTCTTTTTACTACCTCTTGCCTTGAAGGCATAGGCACCTCCTCAGCAGGTGTAATTCAGCATAGTCTCCCCATTGAGTTACTTGGATTTACATCTGCAATGTGTCAGACACGCAATCTGGCAGTTGGCAAAGGAGTTTACTCATCTCCACCTCCTGCTGTCTGAAAAAGCCTTATCAGTTCTCACTGTCATACTACAGCTTAGCTGCAAACATGTCTTTGAAAACTAAAATTAAATTCCTCTGAACTGTGTTTTTGTGCATCTCTGCTATCAGCTAGATTTTCAGGAGGATTTTGAATGTCAGAATAGATGTCTGTTCATCAAAGCTGGCTTTCACAATGCTAGCAAATGAAACTTTCAATTTATGACCAGTAATTGTAATTCTCTTGTGACTTCTCCATGCCTGTTGGAAAGACACCCACATAACAAGAGCAAGTATGACAGTTGGTATTAATTAGAAAAGTTATCCACAGGAGACTGGAGATTTTACCAGTGCCTCATCCTTTGAAGCACATACTGTCTGCTAAGGACCAGGATGAGCTAGTAGGAGAAGGAGGGTGTGGGCAGGAAGCTTGGGTACTTCTGTATGTGCTGTCTGTATGCTTGGAATTTGAAGAGAGATTTAGGTCATAGGGTTCTGATTTCCTTTCCTTAAGGAGCATCTCAGGTAATAACTTAAGACAGGAGTACATGAATAAGAATAGGTGTGTGTGAGCACTTTTAATTACACTGTTAGCAGACAAGATTTTTGAAGGTATGAAAACAGTTCATTAGCCAACTAATATTAATCCTCAGCTATGACTGAATTTGCTCAGGTTTCTAGAAGCAGTGCATTCTTAGGAGCACACTCAAAGGCTTAACATTTGCAAAGAAACTTCACATCCACCATATCAAGGATTTAACACAGTGATGGATGTATCAGTGGCAGGATACTTGGTTTAGAATACGTATATGTGGCTGACAGTCTGTCAAATTCATAGCATATTTGTGTAGGCAGAAACTGAGAAAAGATCAGTCCTAGAGCAAAATCAAAGAAATAGGAATGTCCTTTTTTTTTTTTCTTTTGCCTTCTTCCTTTTTTTTTTTTTTAGTTTTCTCTTTCCAGTATAATTCCACACTACATTGCTTCAAGTTTGAATTTCAAATGTACATCCTAAAATACACACTTCTTTCCTGAACCTTTTCCCTGCCTCAGCACTGAGGTGTATGATAAGCGGTTTCCAGCTCTGTGACCCTATCACAAATCACAGAATGGCCAGGGTCAGGAGGGACCTCAAGGATCATGAATCTCCAACCACCCTGCCACATGCAGGGCCACCAACCTCCTCATTTAATGCTAGACCAGGCTGCCCAGGGCCCCAAACAATCTGGCCTTGAACACTTCCAGGGACGGGGCATCCACAACCTCTCTGGGCAGCATGTTCCAGTACCTCACCACTCTCTCTGTAAAGAATTTCCCCCTGACATCCAACCTAAATCTCCCCTCCTCCAACTTAAAACTATTTCCCCTCGTCCTGCTGTTATCTACCCTTTCAAAGAGTTGATTCCCCTCCTGTTTGTAGGCTCCCTTTAGGTACTGAAATGCTGCAATGAGGTCACCCCGCAGCCTTCTTTTCTCCAGGCTGAACATGCCCAGCTCCCTCAGCCTGTCTTCAACAGACATAGCTGTTCTTCCCTACCTCTGTCCGACTGCCTTTGTGTTTTGTACCCCTCTTACTGGATGAAAACACAGTTGCAAGAAGTGTGTCCCACTCTGAGTTTAGACTTAAGTTTAGACTTGATTCTCATTGTTGAGACAAATTGGTCATATTTCCATAGCTCTTAGCAAGCAGTAATTTGCCATTGGGTTTTTGCTCACTATTACTTTGTGCCTTCCAAATACGCTATTCTATCATTCCAGGCACTTTAAGTTGTTACTGTGTTACCAGGAGAAGATTTGCCTTTGTGTATAACAGGGCAGTCTGCCCTGAAGAAGTGGTTCATATTAAAGAGAGTGGTGGGTACTTGGCAGTTCTAGATTGCATGATGTAGTCATTCCTGGCTGATTAGGATCCTCTTCTTGAGAATAATTGGCTTGGCATCTGCGTTTCCACCACTGCACCTTGTCTCTCCCCTCCAGTGTGGCAGTTCAGATAAACTGCTGTATTTAGAGACTTTGAACAAAGTTTGCCATAGT